ACGAATGCTATGACATAGGACACAAGACTAGTTAGGTTCCCCAAGGTCTGGTTGGCGTTGTGAACAAGTTATCAATACGAGCAAAGACGATTTTGCGGAAAACTTTGCTTCCAGAGCAAAAATACAAATTTTGACTGCATACAATTATAAATAATGATAGAGATTTCCCAATTTCACCAAGTAATATAAGCAAACCTCAAAATTGTTTGTATAGGAATAGCGTCAATACAATTCATATATAAATTATCTACTTTTAGTCTCGAAAACCTACTTTTATAAACACACTGCGAGTTCCAGCTGAAACTCAAATTTCTGGAAATCGAACGGTATGTTTCGAAACAGTATATCAATCTCGAATATGAAGATGAGATTTATTTGCGAGAGTATGACCGAGTTACCAGTCCCGTTGGCGGCGCCAAGTCGAAAGTGCCAGGATGAGAATACCTTTTGGGAAAGCTAAGCTATGTGAAATGTAATGGGAACGTATGACCATGGAAAAATTTAACTCCCAGTCCGCTTATCATCTTAAACGAAATGGGGTGAATACACTTTATATATAAATGATCTGTCGTTCGTCTCAAAAAACCTACATATATACCAAACTTAGAATCAGCCTAAAAATGTACCAATGTGGGTTCGATGTTATATAATCCTTTTCTACAACAATGATGAATTGAATTTGACACAGCACCGTTCCACAAAAGGATGTAGTTGACTATAGTTTCGACCTCAAGTGATTTACCAACCCCCAGCGGGACTCGAACTTGAGTAGCGCAGAGTATAGTCTCCTATGCTGAAAGAAGCAATGCATTAGATTGGAATAGTAAAAAAAGTGTCCTATTTACACAATCCCACCAGCGAAACGTGATATGGAAAATGCCTGCATTTCTTTAAATTTACGTCCAACCTGTGGCCCAAAATCTCATGTGCCAGTGTGGCGTAGTGTTCGACATACGAGGTGGTAGTGAGACCAGTTCAGGCGAGTTTGAACTCGCTGAAAATACCTGTTGGGAAGCGAAAAATTCAACTACTCGTCTTTAATATACCCTTAAGAAATAGAATAAATGTGCTCATCTTGAGGACTGATGTATTTCAAACAAAGTGTGATAGGAAGGATTGTAAGGAAACGAATCCAAAGGCTGTTTAGTTGAGTACAATATATGCTCTAACAAATGCAATGATTGTTAAATTGGAATTTATTGCTTACCTGCCATACTACTCTTTATAGATAAACAGCAAAACATTACCAAACAGAATATTTAAACTTATCATCTTCAAAATGATAGTCAAAACACACATAAAACATTCAAAAGCCTCGTAAACTCCGTGAGCATTTAAATGCATCAGTAAAATTACCATCGTCCAAGCCTGAAAGTCAATTCTAAGGTCTCGATTGCCACAGACTCGGGTGTAATTGCTTTCTAAGGTCAGAAGTATTGCTAGTCTCCAAATGGCATGGCATAAATTAGCATGTCCTGATTCTGAACAATGCTGGCATTTTAATAAAATGATAACTACAAAATGAAAATAATATATTTAATCAATCTAACGAGAGTAGATTCCAAGCATTTGGTAATGCGTCCACTCGAGAGTCACGCGAAAATGCACTAACAACCATACCATTCAACTTCAACGTCGCGCAGATCCGATTGCATCTTGTCTTGCAAAGTGTGATGTAAATGAGCGAAAACGGAAGACCACATTTCCTCATTTCCAGCCTCGAGTTAAGATAACACACATAAAGACCAAATACATACAAGGCATCATGCGTGTCCCACCTGATGCCACACTAGTCCCTCAATGTGTGTGTGTGTAGTGCAAGCCTTTTCGGGTGGAGGCGGCAATGGCTAACTCTTAATAAAGGATATTCAATGCCACAAAGTTTTAATCGAGTGAGACGTTTTTCAGGGATGGGTATGAGTGTCCGTTGTTGAGGCTAGAGTCGAAATGCAAAGAGGACATGAGGGAAAGTGGATTGCGACATTTGAAAGTGCAAGTTCAAGAGTACCCTTTTGGTCTGCGAAAGGCCCAGAGACATATTTGGGTCAGAATGTCACCTCTAAACGTCTTTGCGCGGGACTAGACAGCTCTTGCCTCGACAAAATGGGCATTACTGTGGGAATTGACGCATTAAGTTAGCTTAACTGTGATTAAATTAAATTAAATTAAATTTTAAAAAAACAATGCACAATGGAATAGCATAAAATGTAGGCATAAAGTTGAGGTTACCGGTGCTGAGGGGACGGCCAGGATGCAGATTTGGCCGGTTCGAAAGGACGGAAAGACGGAAGCAGGCAATGATGCAATGATGGAAAGATGGAAGGACGGAACAACGGAAGGACGGAAGGACGGGAGGACGGAAGCAGAGGTAAAGCAGTCGTGAAGGTGAAGCGAGTAAATCTGAACAGAAGCAGAGTTGACAAGTCAATGCAACAGAGACTCCATGACACAAATTACGGGCTCACTTCCGACCATCCTTTTGTTTCTCTCGCTCTTGCGGCCTTCTGACTATGTCACTGAATGTCCGCGTGTCTGTGCGCTGTGTGTATGCTGATCAGCCTGACCGTGGTTCCACTTGTCAGTCCGTCAGTCTGTCTGTCTGCCGGCCTGACAGCATGGCGAACTGCCCTACATCGCTGCTTTCTTGTCATTCTCTCTTGCCTCAACAATCTTGAGGGTTTGGTTACAAAGCCTGTCCACAAAATGAGGCGCAGCTTTCGGGCATCGGTGAAAAGGGGTGCCACACACACACACACACACATATATATATATATATATAAATACACACGCTTGCATGCATAAAGGAGTTGAGTTTAAGTGTCAAACGCGAGTAAGACGTGCTATGCGGTCCGGTGGCTGCTGCAAGTCGTCACACCAACGGGATGGCGTGCGAAGTTGCCTTCAGAAACGCGCACAAACCGACTTAAGACCGACTGACAGAAACACCCACCACGCATATGCACACAAATATATTGTATGTGTACGTATGTATATATTTTTATGTGAGCGCCAATGCACAACAGTGGATAACGGAAGTTGTGCACGTGTGTGTCCCGGAGGGTGGAAGCGGAGCCGCGAGTTCGAGTCGAGAGTGGCCCGTGAAAGAGGGCCGAAATGCAACGCCTCTGTGCCCGTGCACTCCTGCCCGGGAGCACAGTTCACATTGGTACAGGTCTACACACACACATGCACACACAGACAAAGGGAAGAGAGAGAATGCTCTGTCTCGTGACAATTTCGGTGGGAATGTCCGATCGTCGAGTCGAGTATGTGTCCGCGATGCGAGAGAGTGGGCGAGTTTGGATTAATTAAGTGGCTGCGTCTTTCCCTTCGGGCGACGTGGCCGGACGCGGCGCACTCGAATCCTTTTAATCCGCTCTCCCCCACCCCCCTACCAACACACACACACACATACACACACCATTGGGCGGGTTACGCCCGAGGCCAGAGTGCTGGATTGGGGCAGGCCGGGGCGGGGCAAATGGTGTGGGAAGATGATGCCAGTACGATAGTGTCGGTGA